CCAGGCTGCTGCCCTTGTAGTATATGGTCTCGAGCATGGCCGACTTGGTGTTCCTCGGCCACACGGCGGACTGACCTCGGATGCCTTTGCCTGCTAACTGGCATCGACGCATCTCGGCGCAGCTCGTTTTCTCGGCCAGGTAGCCGAGGAGCTGGTTGGTCTGCTCGCCCTGTTCGGCAAGCTGTTTTGGGCAGCTCGACCACATCGCCGTTCTGGGCCGCGGACGCCGAACTGTTGGTGAGCACCATATCGCTCGGGGAAGCTCGGTGGGTAGCTGGGGAAAGCTCGGCAAGAGCTCGCCAACCGCTTGGGCTCGAAAACCACTTGAACGTCGAACAGCAGCGGGAGGTGAGGAAGGGGATGGGAGGTAGGAAATGAAGCGTTTTGTCTGGGACACTCTTGCGAACTCGACGAATATTCGAGGATGCGCGTTTCGCCTGACACCTCCTCACAATAATGGCATGCTCGCGACAGCTGCCTTTTACGAAAGCGATCGCCTTGCTGGAGACATCATCGAAAAACGCGAACTCAACCAATCTTCGACATGTGAGCTTCGCCTGAGGCAACCTTACAAACATGGAATGTTCGCGACAGCGCCTTTTACAAAAAACATCGTCGTACATGAGGCAGCAGCTGGACACTTATCATAGCAAATTCGGCAAGTATTCTAAACTGCGCGGTTCGCCCAAGACACCCTCCAAAATGAGAACAAGGAGTATTCATGTTGCGATGCATGAGATGGGGTTATTGTGAATAATACAGTTCGGCCTCCCCGCTTGCTGTTTCAAATGAAGCACATTCAACCCCGTGGATAAAGAAATACAACATGGGACAGGGGGATGGTGTATTATCTGGGGGACGGGGCTAGTCATAGTCATCAGCATCACCACCGCCACCATCATCGTCGTCATCACTACCACGACCACCATCACCCGAATCAGCATCGACACCAGCAGCATCACTACCATCCACATCATCGCCACTAGAACAGCGTGGCCGTCGGTATCGTCCACCACCGTCACCATCCTCCACCACCAACAGCATCATCAACATCAGCATGTGTTGCTGGTTCCCCCCGCGACCCTTCGAAAGATATGCAAACATGCATACATACTTATGTGCGTATCCACATCGCTGTCCAACGGTCAAGACCCCCTGGGAGAGGCGCGGGAACACGAGAGACGCCACCGAAACGGAACCCGTACCATCATAATCATCATCAGTATCATCAGCATCATCATCACCGTCATCATCCTAATCATCATCCTAATCATCATCATCAGCATCAGCATCATCATCATCATCATCACCATCATCATCATCATCATCATCATCATCATCAACATCATCATCAGCATCATCAGCATCATGAACAGCATCACCCGCATCATCGTCATCATCATCATCAGCAGCATCATCACCACTGTCATCGTAAGCATGGCCATCGTCATCACAATGGTAATAAGCATCATCATCGTCGCCGTCGCAACCATCATAATCATACAACACACTCATCAACAACACCACCGCCGCTGTCCTCAGCATAACCGCCGCCAACATCGTCATCGTCATCGTCACCAGCAAACTCATCAACATACCCATCATCGTGATCACCGTTGTCATCCTCATCGCCAACAACAACAATGATTTCAAGACTGTTCGCTTCTATCTGCTCACGTGCCAATCAATACATATATCCCAAACCCTCGGTACCCGCCCTCGTCGTCTTCGATCGTACCCCTGGGGGAAATATTTTCCTTACCTGCCACGTGCATTTAGTGAAGCCCCTAAAAAACGGGAAGAGAGGACGGGTGGAAGGAGGAGGGAGAAGAATGGAAAACGAGAGAAATCAGCAGGAGGGGGGCAAGGAGCAGAAAACAAGTGGTAGAACCAGACCGGCAGATCGGGTGGGCAGACCCATAGCGGGCAGGTCGGAAGGCGGGCCCAGGCGAGTTGCTGAAGCGTGGGTCCTGCATGAATCGCGAGGAAATCTCGAGCGATAGCGCGATCCCCAAGTAAATCGTGAGAAAAGCCAAAGCGAGATCGTGATTCCTGAGTGCCGAAGGCGCATCGTCTGAATAAATTGCGAGGAAGTCCCACGCGAGAGCGCGATGCGTGCATGAATTGCGAGGAAGTCCCGCGCGAGAGCGCGAGTTGGGAATAATTTGTAAAGAAATATAAGGCAGGAGCTGTTGTTGTAAACCGGGAGCCAGGGGCCCAGTTTGAGCTTCGTGACTTTCCCTGATTCGAGCCCTGGGGGAGCACTTCAAGTGAAAAAATACAGTGGTCACCAGAGGGGGGATCAAAAGTAGTGAGACTTCAACGACAACAACAACAAGGTTATAGTCGTCGACGTCATCATCCTGATCACCACCGCATGTACGCAGTACGAAAGATGTTCCTCTTTGGGCGCCAGCGGCGATAAGCGGTTGGCGAGAGAGCGTCGGCGCCGCCAAACGCACGGCGTCTGGACAAGCTGCTTGCAGCAGCTGGGGGATGAGGAGAGATCAATTCATGTTGCGTGCGACCCGTGTACGGTGAGGGTCAATGGGATCTGTAAGACAACGCGCGAACTGCCCGTGACATTTCGCAACCAAACGCCTCTCCCCCATAGAATCTGCGAACACCCGCTTGCAGGGAGTGCAAAGGCGTGTGAGATAATTGGCTGTCCCCGTCCCCATTCCCCCCTCCCCTGGAAACTGACATCAGATTCCAAGGGGGGGGCCTGGGCTTGGGGGGAGGAAAGGGACTCCCAAACGCATCCCTGTCGCCTCCGGAACCTCTGCAGAGCCAACAGTCCACATGAGCGCCGCGATGGTCCAAGGTAGCCCCACGACGGTCTCATATGTCTTCGGGACGGCCCGCGTGGCCTCAACGACAGCCCAAAAGAGCTCCCCGAGGACTGCCACAAGAGCCCCTAGAGGCCAAAATCGGGTCATTCCTGGGAAAAGTCGTATATGTTAGGCAGACTCGCCTTTCTCGTCTTCATGGCGTCCAAGACGGCCCAACGCCCCCCAAGATCGTCCCAAGACAGCTCATGAGGCCCCCAAGAGGGTTCGGCCCAAGAGAACCTCAAAACGACCTCAAAACGGTCCCAGGGGCCCTGAAGACGGCCCAAAGGAGCCCACGAGGACCTTAAGGTTTCCAAGAGGGCCCCAAGGTGTCCCTAGAGGCCAGCCACACCAGGCGTTTCCCCTCCCACTGGTTCATCCCCCTCATATTCAGTGGCGCTCCCCTCCGTTATCCGCCACCGTGCCTTCAGCGCACATTGGAATGCTCATGCAGCCCTCAGGGGTGAGAGGCAGAGGGGCTGCAAGGGTCTTAAGGGCCCAGGCCCCCACCTTCCCAACCGCTCTTGGAAACCTCCGGAATTCCTAAGAGCTTTTGTGAACGGGAGCTCCTGGGAGCTCCCCGAAACTTTCGGGAACTGAATACTCGAGAGTGTCCCAAGAACCACCTCAGATATAACCCAAGAAAGCACTGGAAGGGTCCAACACACCTTCAAGACGGCACCATGCAGCCCCGAGACGGCCCAAGTGGCCCACAATATGCCCCGAGAGAGCCCCAAAAGCACTCCCAAGAGTGCCCCAAGAGGCAAAATCCGTCCATTCCCTGAAGAATACGAATTTGTTCAACATATTCGCCTCTTGGCCCCAAGACAGCCCAAGAGGGCGCCCAAGATGGCACAAAAGGGCCCCAAAGGGCCCCCGCGGCCCCAAGCGGCCCAGAAGAAGCCCCCAGACAGCCCCTATGAGGCCCCAAGAAGTGTTCAAGCTGCCTCCCAGAGGCTCCCCAGAGGTTTCCCAAGAGATCCCAACAAGCATCCAAGAAGCCTCTGACTCACAACCCAGGTATTGCGGCGGGATGGGCGGAATGCCACTGGATCCGCCGCCCCCTGTTGGCTTGCCACAAGGGTGGCTGGCGTGCTGAACGTCGCACGGCTTGGCTTGGGTTCCTTTCCAACAGAACTCCCACTGCGGTTTCGGCCGATGCCGCCGGCCAACCCCAAGACCCAGTTGCAAAGGTTGTTTCTGCTCCAATAGCTCCAAGATGGCCAAAGATGGTCTCCAAACTCGCCCCACATGGTCAAAGATGGTCTCCAAGACGGCCCAAGAGAGTCCAAGATACCTCCAGGTTCGCTAAATCCGCCGACCTTGTCGGCGTGTGTGGGGTGTCTGTCCAGCCCCGTCGACGGGGAGCCTTCTTTCGCCCCCTCCTTCCCATCCTCCTCTCCCGTCGGGGGAAAGAGAGAGAGAGAGAGAGAGAGAGCACACTTCCTCGTTCGAGGAACGAGTTCGCAGCTTGAGGGAATTCCATCCACGTCTTCATTACGTCAAAGGGAAGCCCCTTCCCTTTGTCCCTTCCCCAGCGGGGGGAGGGGTCCCCGGCGGAAGGGGGGGTCAAATTCGCATCGCCTCTGGGGGTCCTCCTCTCCCACGCCGGTCCTTCTCCGGCGCGCTGGTCCTCCTCGGGCCCTCCTCCCCAGGTGGGGAGGAGTCTCAGGGGGGGGGGAGGGGAGTCAGATACGCATCCGTCCAGGACCCTCCCCTCCCCTCTCCCACGGCGGTCCTCCTCACGTCCTCCTCCCCGAGGGGGGTGGGCCCAGGGAGGAGTCCTTTTAGTCTTACTCCTCCTCCTCCTCCTCCTCCTCCTCCTCCTCCTCCTCCTCTGCCTCCTCCTCCTTATCTCCGCCTCCTCCTCCTCCTTTTCCTCCTCCTCCACCTCCTGGTCGTCGTCGATGTCTTTCAGGGTCGGCGGCACCGGCCGTCAGGCCTTCACAATAAGCCTCCAAGACGGCCCAAGACGGCCCAAGACGGCCCAAGAGGCCCCCAAGAAGCCTCCAAGAGGTCCTCCAGGAAAGCCCGAAGACGCCCAAATCATCGATGTTGCTTGGGTCTTTGCAGGATTGGGGCATTTGCTTCTTTTCGGTCTTCGGACGGCCCGAGACGGCCCAAGAGCCCCCAAGATCGCCCCCAGAGGCCTCCAAGATGCCCCAGAGCGGCCCAAGAGACGCCCAAGACGGCCCCAAGACGGCCCAAGAGGCAACGAAGACGCCCAAGATGGCCTCCATCACGGCCCTGGAGCACCCCAAGAAGGCCCCAAGTCGGTTCAGAGAGGCTCCCAAGACGACATCCGACGGCGTCAGACTGGCTAGGAACGCCCTAAGATGACCAAAGAGGCCCCCAAGAAGCCCCCATCAGCTATAAGACGGCCAAAGAGGCCTGTTGCAGGCCTCCAAGATGCCTCCAACAGGCCCCCAGGAAGCTCCCAGGAGGCCACAAAAGTACCCCCAGAGGCTCCCAAGATGCCCCCTCTCCTCCTCCACCTCCTCCTCTTCCTCCTCCTACTCCTCCTCCTCCTCCTCCACCTCCTCCTCCTCCTCTTCCTCCTCCTCCTCATCTTCATCCTCATCCTCATCCTCATCCTCATCCTCATCCTCATCCTCCTCTTCCTCCTCCTCCTCCTCCTGATCTTCCCCGCCATCATCCCCAAAATGTTCCCCGAAGGGTTTCCACAACGGCTAGGGGAACACATGGTCCGATAACTTGGCAGAGCTCTGGCCACAACGTTCGGCCACAAAGGCGATTCCAAAAGGCAGGGGGCGGCGGTGATTCGCCGTAGGCGTCTTCGACATCCTTCATCATCTTCAGTATGCATGTCCTCCTCGTCATACTCGTCTCCCTCCTCCTTTTCTATTCCCTCTTCTCCTCCGTTTCCCCTTCTGGCTTGCCCTGTTCGTGTTCCTCGCATGTGCCTCTCCCGTCTCGATGGCCCAACACTTGCGGAAGATGCCCGAGATCGCTCTAAAAGTCCCCAGAACATTCCAACGGGGAGACGAGGATGAGGTAAATAGTTTTTCTGTCCGACGAAGGCTTGCGAACACCACGGCACATCCGTCGAATCCGCGGACACGGAGTGCCCAGGCGTGCGAAACATGTAAGTAGATTCCCTCCTCTTCCCTCCACCAAGTGTCCACCCCGAGAATACACCAAAGAACCCAGAGACGCCCTACCAGATGTCCAAGACAATTCAAGGAGCCACCAAGACAGCTACGAAAAGCCTCAGTAAGACAACGAGGAAAAGTAGATCTCCGGAGCCTTCCAACACAACATGGCGCCTACACACTCCGAACATCCCCCTCTGAGTCCCCAGAACGCCCTGACTAAGCGCCCAGAGAACTCCAAAACGCCCCCAAGGAACCCCTCACCTGAACCCAATCGTCTTCCAAAATGCCTCGACGTCGTCCTTCTCCTTCTCCCTGCCCGTCTCCTGCTCCTCCTCCTCCCCCCTCCTCCTCATTCCACTCCATCTCCACGTCCTTGCCGACGGCGTTCTCGTGATGATCCTGACCTTCTCGGGGGTCGGCGGAATGGCGTAAGCCTCTTGAATCCTAGCAGTGGCTCTCGGTCCCTTGATTTAGTTGAACAGTATATGTTTGACACGAAAAATGGTTCGGATCCAAGGGAAAACAACACGACGGAAATCAGATCCACGAAATCTGACATCGGATCCGCGCGGGCGGAAATCGGATCCACAGCTACACAAGCCCAAACCAATTATGGATCCGCACCACATGAATGCATCACCCTCGTCATCGTCGTCATCTGCATACGCGACAGCAGTAGCATCCTCCTCATCAGGCCACCCGCGCTTGGTACTCCGCCAGGCACCGCGAGGCCTTCTGCGCGTCCTTCTCGCGATGCTCCACCTCAATGGCGTGAACCTGGAGAGCTCGAGCGGCGCCGAGCGGCAGTAAAAGATAGATGGCCAACATGGTAAGATTGTAGGCGGTACCACCCCAGCAAAGAGACGAGCTGGACCTAGATGGGAGCAGGCCCTGTCGACGGCCCAACGAGGCATGCCGCGGGTCTCGCTGTGGTGCTGCGCCGTATGAACGCTTCATGAGACGACGAAGCGCTGCAACGAGACAGCTGTCACGGGAGAGGACGAAGCGCTAATGGGTCGACGCAACACCACGGGGAAATCACCAGGCCAGATGCCTTCATGGACGCCCACACTCCCGTTCGCGCCCAGTCTCCCTTCAGCCTCTCGGGTTACTCCCAGCCAGGAACGTATTCCTCATCCAATCTCCATCCACCCTCCCTGATCAATCCTCGACGCGTATCCTCCCCATCATCCGACGCCTACCGCTAGGCATCATCACCAGAATAACTCGAAGGCGTGAGCTTACGTGAATACCGCATCCACCTCGTCCTCGTGATGCCCGCCACCAACATCACCATCACCATCACCATCACCATCATCATCATCATCATCATCAACAACAACATCACCACAATAATCAGCATCATCACCATACTCAGCAGCATCATCATCAGCATCATTGCCATCATTAACATCAGCATCATCATCAGCATCAACACCTACATCATCATCAACATCATCAGCATCAGCATCATCATCAACATCAGCATCATCACCACATCATCACCACCATCATCAGCAGCACCATAATCATCATCAGCAGCAGCAGATTTAGCATCATCTCATCGTTGGTACCAGTATCGTCATCATGATTCCCATCAGCATCAGCATCAGCATCAGCATCGTAATCGTCAGCATCATCATCGTCAGCATCATCAGCGTCAGCATCAGCATCCTCATCATCATCAGCAGCAGCAGCATCGGCATCATCAGCATCATCAGCATCAGCAGCATCAGCAACATCAGCATACAACCAATCATGATCAACCGCATCATCAGCAGCATTATCATCGGCATCGTCATCGTCATCATCATCAGCAGCATCAGCATCGGCATCATCAGCAGCATCATCATCAGCAGCACCATCATCGTCAGAATCAACAACATCAGCATCAGCATGAGCATGAGCATGGAAATCATCATCATCATCGTCACCAGCATCATCAGCAGCATCATCAGCATCGTCAGCATCATCGTTGTAGTCGACATCGTCGTCATCATCATCATCGTCCTCATGGGCATCATCATCAGCCTACTGCTGCTCCTCCTCTTCCAGTTCCGCACTCGTAAAATCATCAGCAGCATCATCAGCATCATTATCATCACCATCATCATCAGCAGCAACATCCCAGTTCTCGTCCTCATCCTCAACATCATCCTCCTGCTCCTCCTCGTAGTCGTCGTCATCATCACTGTCATCACCATCACCATAATCATCAGCAAACTCAACATCGTCATCACCACCATCATCATTGGCAGCATCGTCAGCATCATCCGTATCGCCATCAGAAACACCAACATCATCACAACCACCGCCACCATCAGCATCATCATCATCATCGTTGTCGTAATCCGTCGCCGTCCTCATCAACATCCTTCTCCACACCCTACGACTCCACTTCTCCCTCGCCGGTCGTCCCTCATGCCTCGCCCATCTACGTTGTTCCGCCCCACTTCTTACCATCCCGTCTCCTCCACCGCCCTCGTCCACCCTCTGCTCGTTTCCTCGTTTCTTCTGCCATCCCCGTCTATCCTCCAGCATCAGCATCAGCATCAGCACTATCATCATCCTCATCAGTATCATCATCATCATCATCATCATCATCATCAGCAGCAGCAGCAGCAGCAGCAGAAGCAGCAGAAGCAGCATGAGCATCATCATCAGCAGCAGCAGTGGCAGAAACATCATCAGCATAATCATCACCATCAGCAGCAGCAGCGTCATCATCCTCATCATCATCATCATCATCATCATCAGCATTATCATCAACATCAGCATCAGCATCAGCATCATCAGCATAAGCAGCATCGCCATAATCAGCAGCATCATCATCTGCATCATCACCCTCATCGCCATCATCATCAACACCATCATCATCAACAATATCAGCATCATCATCATCAGCCGCAGCAGCAGCATCGTCATCACCAGCATCAGCAACGTCATCATCATCATCATCATCATCATCATCATCATCATCATCATCATCATCATCTTCAGCAGCATGACCAACATCATCATCATCGTCATGTTCATCAACAGCATCAGCATCCGCATTATCATCAGCATCACCATCATCGGCCACCTCATCCTCATCATCATCCGCATCACTATCCTCGGCATGATCATCATCACCATCAGCAGCAGCATCAGCATCATCACCATCATCATATCATCATCATCATCATCATCATCATCACCACCACCACCACCACCACCATCATCATCATCATCATCATCATCAGCAGCAGCAGCAGCAGCAGCAGCAGCATCATCATCATCATCATCATCATCATCATCATCATCATCATCGTCAACATCGTCATCATCATTAGCCTTATCAATATTCGCATCATCAACATCGTCAGCATTAGAATCGGCATCGTATCACCAACATCATCAACTCCATCAACATCGTAATAATCATAATCACCGTCACCACCAGAAGCATCATGATCAGCATCGTCGTCACCAGCATCATCATCAGCAGCAGTATCGTCAGCAGCATCATCACCTATCATCATGATCGTTATCGGCAGCAGCAGAATAATCATCAACACCAGAATCAGCATCCTCATCATGGCATCATCGTCATCATCATCATCATCACAATCATCATCCTCGCCAGAACCATCATATTTCTCATCGCCACAATGATCAACAGCATCAGCAGCAGCAGAGGCATGATCTACGGAATCATTAACATCACCACCAGCATCACCAACATCATCAGCCCCAGTGTCATTATCATCGGCATCGGCATCGTCATCAAGATCATCCTCATCATCATCAGCGACATCGGCATCATCATCACCGCCACCACCACCATCTAGTCATCATCAGTAACATCAGCACCATTGTTTCAGCATCCTCATCATCGACAGCATCATCATCATCATCATCATCATCATCATCATCATCATCATCATCATCATCGTCCTCATCATCGCCGTCGTCATCATGATCCATCTCGTCCTCCTCCTTCTCCTCCTGCTTCTCTACGTCCTACTCCTGGTCCTCCTTCGCTTCCTCCCCGTCCCCTGCCTCCCACAATCAGCAGCCATTTCCTCCCGCCCTCCTCACCCATTGTTCATCAGCTACCCCTCCCTCCCACACCAACTACCTACCCCCCACACTTCCTCACCCTCCCTCATCTCATCCTCCCTCATCTCCGCTCCCTCCTCCCTTCTGCTCTCCCCTCCCTCCTGCCTCCTCCCCCCTTCTCTCCTCACTTTTTTTTCTCTCCTCCCTCCTGCCTCCTCCCCTCCCTCCACTCTGACAGATCCCCCGTTCCTCACCCCTCCTGCCTCCTCCCGCATGGCCCCCAGAGCTGCGCTCCTCGCGTCTCCCTCCACTTTCTTCTCCCGCCTCCCCTTCCGCTCTTCCCTCCCTCTCGTCGTGCCTCACCGCGGGTCCTCCTCCGCCTCCCTTTGCATACGGCTCCTGCTGCTCATCCTGCGCACGTCTCGTCTATCGTGCTGTTTCTTGGTAGATCCGCCGACCCTGTCGGCGTGTGTGAGGAGAGGCTGTTCGTCGTCGTCGTCGTCGTCTTCGCCGCCACCGTCGTCGTCATCGTCGCCGTCACGTCGTCGTCAGCGTCGTCGTTGTCGTCGTCGTCGTCACCGTCACCTCTCTTCCCAATCCCTGTCCGCGGGCCCTCCTGAACAAACGCTCCAGCCAAAGAGCGTCCTAAGGGGGTCCCAGGGGGTCCCGGGGGGGGGGGCGTCCTAGAGGGGTCCCAAGGGGGCAGGGGGAAGGTGTCCCGTGGGTTGTGACTCCCTCCCTCAGGGGAAGCGCCCCTTCCTGGCAGAAGCTTTCCCCTTCGGTTCCTTGCCTCCCGGACGCCTCTGGCTCCCCCTTCAGGGCCGGCGGCACGCGCCAGCAAAACAGCTCATCCCTGTCGCACCCCCGGACGCGTCGGTCGGGCGGGCCGGGTAGTTCGCCCGAGACTTCCACACAATGTATGATGCTACAGCTTGAATTCCGCAACGGTTACTCCAGATTTCGTAATAAAAGGGAGGGGGTCTGGACCCTCCAAGACAAGCCATTTCAGACCTCCCCCGTGGGAGAACCCTGCAAAACATCGTCCCCAGACCCCCCAGGCCCTCCAAGATAGCCTGGAAGAGACCCCCCCCCGAAATGAGATCCCCCTCCCTTTATTACGAAATCTGGAGTACACGGATAGAGGGGGGATCCTTTTAAAAAAATGTGGCTGCCGCCCTGACTCCACGCGCAAAGCTTGCAGCGGCGACACCGACAGCGCACTGGTGGTTTTTGAAGATGTGGTTCTCCACTTCGCGACGCGCAGATTCGTCTCGAAAGCCTGCGAAAGCCATGCGGGTGGAGGGGGTAGACTTGACAATGTGGCTCTCGCCAAAGCGCCGCGCACAGTCGTCTTGAAAAATCATCCATTCGAAGGATGCAGGGGGTCTGAGTCTCGAAATGCGTGTAGCTCCGCGCACTCTTGTCTGAAAATTGCATCGGATGGGAGGACGGAGGCGGTTCCTGTTCAAAGTTTGGCTCTCGCCTTATTGCCGCGCACACTCGTGTGAAAAAAATTTTCTCAGCGCAATCTTTCGGGAGAAGAAGGAGGGGCATGAGGGAGGGGACGACCGCAGCACCAATCGAGTAACTCGTGCACTCCGTGCCCATCCGCAGCAGAGACCAGTGACTTAAATTACAGCAACATCCCAGAAGTAAAAAAGCACCGGCGAGAAGAGAAGAGGGGCAAGGGAAGCAAGGAGGACGAGGAGGAGGAGGAGGAGGAAGGAGCGGAAGAGGGAGAGGAAAGAAGGGGAGGGCAGTCCCGACCCCGCTAGGGGACGGACAAAGGATCCTAAGCAAAGCCTCGGACCCACCTGCAAAACACTGAAGGGGAGGAGGAGGCGAGGGGCGCAGAGGAGGGAGGAGAGGAGGACGACGAGGGAGGAAACAAGTGGCGCTACCCTACAGAAGCGGGGGCACGCAACGAACATGTCACGAATTACGGCCCGCTAATGCGGAAGGAAGACGAGGACAAGAAGGGAGGAAGAAGGGGCAGAAAGGGGGAGACACGCGTGTGAAAAAGTGCATCGACTCCCAGACTGCAGGGCTGCTCCTCCTCAAAATGTTGTTCTCGCGTTAGCACCGCGCTCGTCTGCATTAAGAGCTTGCACCAGTTACGGGGATGGGGGGCGGCTCCTTCTGAAAATGAGGCTCTCCCTTGCGACTTCCTTCCACCGAGAAGATACAACTGCAAGGATGGGGGGATCCTTCACAAAATGGGGGCTCTCTCTTGAGACAGCTGTCCCAAAACTTCACAACCAGAACCCAAGCTTTATATGCAACCGTTACACAAACGGTGGCAGTCAATATTCAAATGGAAATCTAGGTGGACTCCCCGTTGAGCTGCGTGATCATACCATGTCGCATCCCTTCTGACTCGCAAGAAGGATGCTGGGCAACTCCTGTTCAAACTCGTCAATAGCAGGGTCTTTCAAGGGAGCACGGTGTGCGTTGAGAACGAAGGCGTGCAGGCACTTATGAGGATGGGATTTAGAATAGAAGGGTGGAATACAGCATCGGTGGTGCATCTTAGGCTTACTCTGGTCCCTCCCTCATCCTCCTCTTCCTCAGCCCTCCTCCTCCTTCCTCCTCCTCCTCCTCCCCATCCTCCTCCTCCTCCGCATTATCTTCCTCTGCCTGCTCCTCCTTTTCCACAGCTTCACTCCCCCTACCAAGCTTCTCCTCCTCCTCCTCCTGCGCCCTCTCCTCATCCGCCTCCTCCTCCTCCTCCTCGTCCTCCTCCTCCCTGTCCTCCTCCTCCTCCTCCTCCTCATCCTCCTCCTCCTCCTCCTCCTCCTCCTCCTCCCCTTTCACATCACTATGGCTGTTCCTCCTTCAGCTGATGCTGCTCACTTCCCTCCCCATATCCCCCTTCCCCTCCGTGTTTCCCCATGCCGGCCCTGCCGAAGACGACGACGACGACGACGACGACGACGACGACGACGACGACGACGACCTCTCCCAGGGCGCACTTTGGCCAAAACCCCGAGGGGGTACCCGACCGTGGCCACACAGGCCGCCCCCAGAGGGCACAAACTGCTCGGCGAGGGTCCGAAAACCTGGACCCTGGACCCTGGAACATCGAACTTCAAGCCTCAATCCTCGCGGATCTGTATTGCGTTGCGCTGCGCTGCAGTGCACTGCGTTTAGTATCGTCTGTGCTTCTAGGTCATCAAACTTCGCACATCGCGCCCCGCGATGCACGACGCGCACTTATCTTCGCGCCCTCGCGAGGGCCCCTTGGAGAAGGGCAACCGCTCAAACACAAGCAGCGATGCGCAAAGCGCGATCATTTTCGCGCCAACGCGGGTGTCCTAGGCGTTTCCACGCGGCACAAGCCATAACCACTCTCATAACCGCAACTACAGCAACGGAAATGGTACCCGTCCCAACTCGAGCATTCATGTTGTGGCCCAGAACAAAATGCGCCTCCAAGAAGCAGCTCGAAACTCGAACCTCCAACCTGAGACCTCGACCCACGATCCCTCCCAAAACCTGAAACCTCTAGCCTCGGCCATCGTCCCTCCAAGAAACTCAAACCTCGACCCTCGAGCCTCGAACCTCAGATCTCGACCCTCGAACCTCGAACCCCGAGCCCCGATCCGCGACCCTCAAAAATGTCGATCCTCGACCCTCGAACCTCAGACCTCGACCCCCACACCCCGACCCTCCCAAACCCTCAAACCTCGAACCTCGAGCCTCGAACCTCAGACCTAGACCCTCGAGCCCCGAGCCCCGACCCTCGACCCCCGGCCTGCCCCAGCGCCTCGACCCCCGAGCCTCCAGCCTCGGGCCTCGACCCCCGAACCTCCGGCCCTCCAGCCTCGGGCCTCGACCCCCGACCCCCGACCTCGGAGCCTCGGCCCGTCGGCCCTCCGAGGCTCCAGCGGGGGCCCGGCCCTGCGCGCGCCCCGCCTCCAAAAGATGGCAGATCTCGGCGCGCGCCTCCGCCGCCTGGCGGCAGGGGGGGGGGGGGCGAGGGGGCGAGGCGGGGCGCATGCGCGCGAGGGCGCGGGGAGGGGAGGGGAAGGGGAGCAGGAGGGAGGGAGCAAGGAGGGGGGAACGGACGAGGAGCGGGGAGCGAGGAGGATGTATGGACGGAGGAGGGGAAGGGCAGTAGGGGGGGGATGCATGGAGGTGGCAGTGAGGAAGAGGAATGAGGTGGGCTGAGCGAGGAGAAGTGAGGAGGCGGACGGACGGACGGACGGACGGACGGACGGACCGACGGAGTGAGCATGAGGAAGTCGGAGGAGGAGGAGGAGGAGGAAGGAGGGAGGATGGAGGGAGGAAGACAAGGAGGAGGATGAAGGAGGATGGAAGGAGGAAGGGGGGGTCCCTATGGGAAGGTGTTCCCTCTCCCCCCCTCCTCCGAGGAGGAGGGAAGATGGAGGGAGGAGGACAAGGAGGAGGATGAAGGAGGATGGAGGGAGGGAGGGGGGGGTCCCTAAGGGAAGGTGTTCCCTCTCCCCGCCCCCCTCCTTCGAAGCCTCCTCCTCCCTCGCTCTCGTTCTCACTCGGCGTTTTCACCTTCCTGGTCCTCATCCTCCTTTGCCTTGGCATCTTTCGAACTGGGAAGAAGGAAGAGCCGCTCCTGCTTCAAAAAAGGGCTCTCGTTTCTCGGCTTCCCGGGGGAACGAAGGCGCCTCCCGCAGTGAAGCGAACCGTTAATTTTCCTCCTCTTCCTCCTCTTCCCTTCATATTATCATCAGTATTATCAGTTGCTTCTTACTAGTATTCACATTCGTTTTCGTAATAGCTTAATGTTAGTATTAGTTTTTTTCTTGGCATTCGTACACTTATTCCTAGCTTTCTTGATAGACGTACCATTACTCTTGATTGGATCATGATTATGATTATGATAAGTAGTGGTACTACTATCCCTGCTAACGCTACGTTCATTCATTTGGTGATCTCATTATGCTTACTCGCATACTTATTGGTATTACTTGTTTTAGTTGTCTTACTGTTCTGAACATAACTATTATACACCTTATCAATTATACACCTTATCATCCTCCTCCTCCTCATCATCCGTTTCCTCTCCTCATATTATTATTACTCCTCCTCCTCCTCCCCCTCATCCGTTTCCTCCTCCTCCTCGTCTCTCCTCCTCCTCTTCCTCCTCCGCCTCCTATTCGTATTAGTATTCGTCTGCTTCTTGTTATTCGTAGTATTATTATGACGATTAGTATTACTAATATTATTAGTAGTATTCTTATTATCGTCTGCATCTTGATATTATTATCGTCTGCTTCTTGATATTCGTATTCGTACTATTATGATCCTTCTTCGCTTGGTTATTCCTACTATTCTTGTTCATCGTGTTAGTAATAGCTTCGCATTACGATGTGTACGATTACTCTTAATATTTTAATATGATCATGCTTAGTATTGTCATTTTTGTTGCTCGTAATGTTTGTGCGCTTTTTCTTTGTAGTACCATTAGCAATATTAATAGTAGTCGACTTCTGCTTGTTCCTATGATTCCCTTTTCTTCGTCTTCTTCATACGATTGACGCCATTACGAGTACCAAGAACATGAGTTAAGATATTGTTATTAGTATTAATATTATTCGTTTTCATACCATGATTCGGAACACGATTCTTACTCTTCCGATTATAATTCATATTAGCAGTTCGACTCCTATTGCTAATGTTCTTCTTCACTTTAGTCTTACTGATATCATAATAATGTTTCTTACGGCTACTACTATTCGAATCATTATTGACACTATTCTGCCTACCGTCATTGCTAGCATTACTTTCGAATGTCATTGTATTACCAAGGTCGTTCGCATTAGCATCAGCATTATTACTATGCCCTGCCATCTGAATGTTCACAGTACGCTTCGCATTATAAATCTCCGTACCCGGGTTATTCGCATTAGTATTGTGTCTCGTTGTGTTTCTTACTATGTGTGTTATTGTTGTTGTTATTATGTTCCTTCTTTTTTTGTATTATTCGCATTATTCGCATTAGTACTATTATTCGTGTTCTTCTGATCTTTATTACGTTATCATTATTATCATTGCGTTTACTCTTATTAATATTGCTCATAATACTATGAGTACTATTCACACCATTTCTAACATTAGCAGCCTTCATCCCGGTTGTCTTCCCCTTCGTGGTATTATACTGGTTATCGCTCTTATGTTTGCCATGTTTGTTCCTTCTCCTCATCATCATCCTCATGCGCCTCCTCCTCGTCCTGTTCCACCTCGTGTTCCTCGTCCTCCTCCTCCTCCTTCCCCTCCTCCTTCCTCCTCCTTCCTCCTCCTCCTCCTCCTCCTCACCCTCCTCGTCCTCCTCGTCCTTATCCTCCCCCTCGCCCCCCATCCCCAGCCCTCCTAGTCGTTTCCCTCCTTTTCCTCCTCCTCCTCTCCTCCTCCTCCTCCTCCTCCTCCTCCTCCTCCTACTCCTTCTATTCCTCACATTCCCACTCCTCCTCCTGCTCCTCTTCCTCCGCCTCCTCGTTGTCCTCCTCCTCCTGCTTCTCCTCCTCATGTTCCTCCTCCTTCTTTTTTTCCTATTCGTATGATCAGTACTGTTGGTATTCGTAATACCAGAAATATTGTCAGTACCGCTACTGTTTTGTGTTATGTTTACCCGTATTAACGTTATCATTACCATTCGTTTTCGTATTATGTTTATACAATTTCCATGATTGTTATTAGTAGCATTATTAATGTTCATACTAGAATTCTTATTCTCCTTATCATTACTATGAGCATTCGAATTAGTGGTATTAGTCGTACGTGTTTTCTGACTACGGTGGTTACTAGTCGAATGTTGACTCACTTTCTTAGTGTGACAAATTATTACTGTGATTCTTATGTAAAGCATTCATCGTGTATTATGAGATTCGACACTACTATTAGTATTGTTACTCCATTCCTCTTAATTTGAAATCTACGGTTCTACTCATTATCAATATGTGTGTCTTGGTGTTACTCATCCTCCTTTCCTCGTCTTCCTCCTCCGTCTCCTCGTCCTCCTCCTCCTCTTCCTCCCCTCCCTCCTCCTCCTCCTCCTCCTCCTCCTCCTCCTCCTCCTCATCATCATCACCATCATCATCAGCATCATCCCCCCCGTCCTCCTCCTCCTCCTCCTTCTCCTCCTCCTCCTCCTCCTCCTCCTCCTCCTCCTCCTCCTTCTTCTCCTATTACGTTTTTTCTTCATCGTATGATTGTTATGCCTCTTCCCCTGATTTTTACTACTAGTACGATTATTCGCGTCAGTGTTCCCATTCGTTCTCTTACTAGAACTGTTGTGCTTCTTATTCGTAGTATCATTCATAATATTCGTACTATACGTTCATTCGTTAGTACGGACGTACTTAGATCTTTCCATATTACCATTCATCCGAATCCTTCATTCGTACTTTCGTTCTCATTCTTGTCTTAATATACGTACTAGTATTAACATTCATACATGTGAGTCGGTTTCTTTTTCTTCTGTATAGGATTCCCCCTCTTCGCCATATCATTCTTAGTACTGCGGTTAGTATGCTCTAATTACTATTTTAAGAATTCACCAGTCCTTTGATGATGTTGACATGCAGTTAACCATATTGATAAGAAGTTAGTCATTGTCTTGTTAAAACCTTCTGTTCGGGTTTACCCTCGGCGAAGCGTAATAGGGGGCATAATTAGCCCCGCGCGCCAGGGGCGCGGCGTAAATGTCCGTTAAGCTTTGGTCGACGCCATGGATAAGAGAGGCCCGGCCGGCCGGGAGGGCGCGCCCGGGGGGGGGGGGGGGCGCGCGCGCGCGGCGGGCGGGGCGCTGCCTCTTTCCTGATAGAGCCAACACGCACAGCTACGAAATTGTCGCTGCGGGGGCTACATGGGCCGGGGGGATCGACAAAACGACTCCCCCCGCGGCCGGCCTGGCGCGCTCCGCGCGCACAGGCGGGCACTCCTGCTTTAAGCGACGCCTCGAACTGTTCACAACAGCATCAGAGGCTACGGCGCCCGGCAGTCTGGCCTCAGACTGGCTCGCCGCGCGCTCGACGCAGGCGCATCGCGCGCTTGTATCGCGGCGACCCAACCGCCCCGAACGGGCGCCGTCGAGCAGCAATCGCTGTGCTCGAAGGTGGGCCCAGCGACATCGTCGCTGGCCCCCGCCTCGTTCTCTTCTTCGCACCCTCACCAGCGGCCACGGGGGCCTCGGCTGTCGTTGCTCCGAGCTCCACGTCCACGCTGACCACCAATCATTGGCGCTGTCCTGCCATGGGGTGGAAGAATCCGTGGTCTGCTGCTCCGCGGCGTCGCGCCCGCGCCAAGTCTGGCGCCCCGGCGCATCCGCATCACGGTACCACGGAGCATTCTGACGAAAGTCAGGAGCGGCTGGGGGATGGAGAATCGGCGCGCATCCAGAAATGGCTGCCTCCGAGCTCTGCGGGATATCCCACTGCGTCGGGTTCCCAGCACGGCGCCTCCGAGACTCTTGCTGATCATCTGGCGCTCGGCTGCTGGCCCTCCTCGCGCCATTGCCACTGCTCGCGCCATCATTCCCATTGCCCGCGCCCTCATCCCCTGCGCTTGCTGCAACGGGCGGCCCTCAGGCTGCGCGGAATGAAGCCGCTTTGCACCATTCGCGGGAGGCCCCCACCTGGGCGCGCCGCCGACATAATCAGCCGGCACGCCCGAGTACGCAGGCCTCGCCTTAGGCGGAGGGGGCCAGGGAAACACTAACAAAGGCCAGCATTCCTCAATTTCCGCCGCCACGGCAGCCTTGGGGCCGGCGGCCGGCTCGATGGCACCCGCGCCTGGAGCCGTTGCACGCCGCGCAGTCCAGCCACAGCTGGGCGTTTCTCTGTGGCGATATCCTGGGTTCGCGCTGCCCCAGTCGAAGGGGCTCAGCATAGATTACCCCTCCTCTTCCATCACCCGCCTGCTGATATATGCCCACCATTCATTCGGGTGAACCACCGAGCGCGGCCATGTCGCTGGCGCTCGGAGGCGTTCGTTCTGGAAACTGGCGCACCTCCGGGACAGCTTCCTCATCTTCTCGATATCGCAGGGATTCTGCGGCGGGGGCAATGCATATCCTGAACACGTGGACAACCACGCAAAGGCCGCCATGAGGTTGCTGCGGCAAGCGATCTTGCCCTGAAGGGCGTCTTCTCGACGTCTGACAATCGCGCCCTGCGGTCTCGAACCATTTCTCTCGCGCGTTGCGCTGAACGCGATCAACGATGCCCCAACCCATCTCTTCAGCCCGAGGTCACGGACATCGCCCGAGCGAATCCTCTTTTCAAGGCCGACGTCCTCGTAGTCAACATTCGATTCGATTTGCTCAGCATCGACGACGCGCGCCCCGCGCTGCAACGTCATCCGACAGATCCGATCCGACGTCGGCAATCATTGCATCGCAGAAGGGACCCGTCGTTCCACCAGTTAGGGGTGCATAGCGCGTCCTTCTTGTCTTTGGTAGCGAGCTCGTCGCCGTCATCCTCATTCGGTGGGCGACGGATCTCATAATTCTGCTTCGCCAACTCAATGCAGGCCGCGCTGGGCTGCGGGCAGGGTAGACCAGCAGGACCGCAAACCATCGACCATGGACCAACGTCCACGACACCCGCGCACGCTGGATGCCCGACACTGCACGCCGCAAGATCTGGCGGATGTCAATCCACGCGAGGCGACATGTAGTTGCCAGAGTGCCGTCGCGCAGTATCCAGACGTTCTGAATATCAAAGAGACAGGGCTGTAATGTTGCCACAAGCATGTCAGACAACGGTTGTGGGTCATCGAGTCCGACGACGTCGGCATCCAAGTCCTGGCCAGTGACCGATCTCGCCCATCCACCAGGTCTGAGCCACCTTGGCAGCTCTCCGTTCACTCCGCCGTTATTGACAATCTGCGTCTTCTCAACAACTGATTGCGCCCCATAGCTAAGCACCCCGTTATCCACTCTCCACCACAGGCTCGACGAATGAAACAGATGGCCCAGCATTAGTCGGAAGACAGGTTATGAACCTGCATTGGCTGCCCCCCTGAAGATCGCCCTCCAGCGCTCCAAGATAGCCGGTCATAGGCCGCCTCATGGCAGCGCCGCCCAGAGGAACGACACGAGTTTCATGTAGAGACCTCGCTGCAGCATCGCACCGAATGCACATGCGTTTCGGGCGCACGACCCGAACAGAATGACCTTTGCAGGCGCGAAACATTAACGGCGCTCTCGCCAGAGGCGGCAAGATACGGTCTCCCTCAATGGCATCATCTTCCTCCATCGGAGCGCGCCCGAAGCTGCCCCCAGTCGTCGGGCCCCCCGGTTGGACCCGCCCCCGCGCCCGCCATGTCCGCGCCGAGGACCTAAACCGCGTGGGGGGGCAGTCGGGCGAGGGCGCGCATGAAGCGCGCCCACGCTCGGTCGTGCCCTTCGTCATTCAGCATCTCGACGATAGCGCGCGCCTCGACCCGTCCCCCTGAACTTCGAACACGGGCTGCGCCGCGCATTGCCAAGTTAACAATGAGCGCCCAGGCGCCAAGCTTTCTCCACATCCATGCCCGAATAATATGCAAATGTGCGTCTTCACTGCATAAATCCATCGGGGTCAGACGGAACTCCGGGGATGGTAGACAGCGAGGTTCGACTGCGATGAAGCGAGCACACAGAAAGCGACGAGCTTTCGCGGCATCATCTGCAGGCAATCGACGAAGGAACTCGAGTAATGGGTCTGCAACCAATCCTCGCCCTCTTCTCGCACCCCCTGTCCCCCCTCTCACGCTCCTCGAAGGCCTCCGGGCCAGCCTCGCGCAACTCTTCTGGCCTCCGCGCCAGCTCGCGCCAGCTCGAGGGGGGCGGCACGTTGCGCCGCGTCATCCCCATCACCGATGAGCGAGGCGCCGCGCTCGTCCTTCCCAGCGCGCTCGAGTCCAATATATGCAGTTTCTCCGACCTGTCTTCTGCTCAGCTGGTATTCGTCGATTGAAATCCAATCGCTCTTGGGAGACGTCGGAACCCCGCTGGGGCCGAAGCACTTCGACGAAATGGCCTGAGGAAGCTCACCAAACAACGCGCCCAGACGAATCAGCCCAGGCGGGCGCCCGCGGGGCATTACCACCAGCAGCTCATCCTCCTCCATGTCCTCTGATTCACTCGACTCCACCTTGTCATCTGTTTCACCAGACTCGTCCTCGCCCGCTTATTCCTCCTCCGCAAAGCCGCGCGCCGCGGCTTGAACCCGGGGCGCTCCTCGGACATCGGGCGCCGAGCATCACGCCTGCGCGCGCCAGCCCAATGCGAATACGAGCGCCCGTGGGGAGCGCACAGGTCGACACGCAGCGCAACGTCTGGCTCGCCACAATAATCGCGCGAAGTCACTGGCTGCAGGTGCGCTGGTTTCTGCTTCGCACCCTGCTTCACCTCCCTGAACATCGAGCAAGAGCAACCAAGCCGAAGACAAATGAAGACCTGCTCCACGCGCGCCACTTTCTCCGCGAGCACCACTGGGCCTTCCTTGGTCAACGGTCTTGTATGATCCGTCGGGGGCGGCCGATGGAATGGCGCACCTCCCCGAGGATCAGGCGGCTGGCGGGCCGGAGGAGCAGTCGAGCACATCTCCCCCGAGGGGAAGCGGACAAGCGCGCACGCGAAGTAGACATTACTGAACCTGGACACCCCGAGGCCCCCCCCGTTGGAGTGCTGGCGCTTCCTCGCCGGTGGAACGAGCCTGCGATGAGCTATCGTCTGCGCGTGGACGTGATCGGGGTCGTGCGCAACGAAGTCTCGAATGCTGAGATGGTAATGGATCTTACCAAAGCGATTGAAGTCAGGCCCGATCCACCCCTCAACATCATCATCGCCAGTATGGCGAACAGGGCTCGGCCTCGACCTGCCACCCCCCGGACTCGGGACATCGCCCCCCCCCCCCATCTAGGGGCATCGGGTTCATCGGTCCGCAGTGCGTGAAGTCCCCGGGGGAATGCTGCAGACAACGCTCGCCCACGTCGGCTCGCGCAGGAACGACGCTGTTCACGTGGAGCCCCGGCATCCGATCGCAACGGACCAGTGTGTTCACATCGGGTGGTACATGATACTCCCGGTAAAACTGGTCCGTTTCTAGCTCGAGGCCCCATCGAACATCGCTCACCCAAGTCAAGTTCTCATCTACGAAGGCGCGAAGGCGTTCAATGAGCATCTGTCGGCTTTCTCGAATATCTTGGATCTGCTCTCGCTGCCGAGGGCTGCGCAATGCCCGACGGGCCTCTCGCATCTGCACCTTGTTTTCGATCCTCGCGGGATCGCGGCCGCGGGGCACCGCGAGCCACCGCCGGACGGGCGGGCGGAGGAGATCATCTGTCTTGACTTCGCCCTAGCAACGGCGGGTTCCTCTCGCGCGCCCGCGCAGCTTCGCCTCGCCCGCGCGCGCGACACGAAGGAAACGAAACGACTTCCCGGTTGGGGGCCCCCGTTCCCCACTGCGATCCCACTCCCCAACTTCCGATCGACAGCACTGGCCCACAGTATTGCCATGGTCGACGCCCTGTTTTGCGCTGATTCTCTGTCTTGCCGACCACTGTCTCAAGAACCCCCTACCGTCCTCTGCCCATGGGCCCCTTGGACCGCCTAGAGGCATAGGGCCAACCAGGGGCGCTCGGGGAGCTCCCTTGGAACCCTCCAGTGGCCCTCTTGGGGCTCTCCGGGGAGCCCCCCGGGGCTGCGCAGAGCCCTTCTTAGGCGGCGGAGGTAGCGCAAGCCAACGAATGCACGCCCGGAGGTGACGTGCTGAGCGGCAGCGTTTTCCGGCGAACGCCTAAATACAACTTATTCACTGTATCCGATGATTGCATAATTGCTACATATTGCAATGCGTCGCAGCACAATGCCCCCCCCCCCCCCCTAACCCCCGAGGGGCCACGCCACATCCACCGACCCAACGATGGTGAGCCCCCTCTGGGCATCAAAACCCCCCTAACCGATGAAAAACGAATGATTTGGGGCCCGTGGCCCTCCCGGGGGCCCGAGAGGGCTTCAAAATAGCTCGCGGCGGGCTCTAGACGGCACGCGACGGCCCCGAGACGGCCCAAGATCGCCCCAAGAGGGCCCAAAAAGCGCCCAAGACGGCCTGAGGGCTCCCAGAGGAGCCCCATGAGCGCCTCCGCAAGCCCAAATCATTGATTTTCCGAAGGTGTTGGAGGACTTTCGCGTTCTCATTTTTTCTGTTCCCGACGGCCCAAGCAGCCTCTCAAATCTGCCCACGACGGCTCAAGAAACGCCCGAGAGGACCCCAAGACGGCCCCAGACTGGCTTTCGGGCCCCGACTAAACGAATGTCGACGCTGAGCCCTCACAGGCGCCCTGACTTTCTAGCTCCAACAAAACCAGCAGCGACGCAGAGCCCAGTCGGGCGTTCCGACTTCCGAAGCCGTGGGGGCGCGAGGCGGGGTCTGGGCTCGAGGAGCGCCCAGCCGCCGCCGATCCTGACCCTCGAACCGTCGGGCCTAAGCTTCGGCCCCGCCCGGCGGCGCCCCCGTCATGGACCCGGCCCTGAGCTGCTTCGAGGAGTCGAGCAACTGATGCTGCGCGCCAGCGTTGGAAGCCTCGACGCGCATCTGCATCGGCCCGCAGTCGCACGCGAACGAGATCCTAGAGCGGCGGACTTGCATGCAGAACGTCTCGTTGGCGATGGCCGGGTCGCCCTTCTTGAACTGGTCCATGTACTGGTTCAGCGCGGCGCGGTTGACGGCCCGATGCGCTCTCCCTGCTGAACGACCCTGCCAACCAGCGCTTGCCGAATATGCCGATGAGGGACGCCAAGCGCGTCCAGCTCGGGAATGGGCTGCTGCTCACGAAGCTGCTGCTGGTCGTCGCGACGGACGCAGTTGGCTTCGTCCACGTAGTACTTGACCGTCGCCCTCATGGCCTTGCACCAGGACTGCGCGAACGAGCGCGGGGAAAAGGGCCTTGATTAGCTCGACTGGGAAGCTTCTTCGCCTAGGCCCATGACATCGCTGGCGCTGAAGTCCGCGCGTTGCGTCGGCGTTTCGGAAGAGCTGGCTGAGCGCGTTCGAGACGCCCTGCTGGTGGAGCCCCTGCGGTGCCAGCTGCTGCTGAGGCCGCGGCGGCGGCGGCGGCCGCCGCCGCCTGGGCGCCCAGGCCATGCGCCAGCAAAGCGGGGCGGGCGTCGCGGGGGAGGCGCCCGCCGCGGCCTCGGCCCCCCGCTGGCCGGCGCCTCCCGCGGCGGCCCCGCGCGCCCCGGTCGCCGCTGCGAGACCGCGGCGCTACGTCGAGCGCTGCGGGCGGCTGGCTGAGGACACGAGACGCCAGGTCCATCCCACTCGGTCGAGACGAGGTCTGGCGGCGAGGGCGCGCGCGCCTCCCGAATGCGCCGCTGGAGCTCGGGGGGGGAAGCAAGCTGGTAGAACCGCCTCGAGCCCAGTGGCGTGCCATCGACGAATCCCTGGAACGTGGTCACTAAATCCTGGCAGATGGGGCAATGGAGGTCCTCGGGCTCTTGAGCGGGAGGTGCGCGGGGGCGCTGATTGCAAAGACATCGGCCATATCGTAGAGACTGAACAACATGACGCCCAGCGGTGACCTGACTCCTGAACGTGGACATGCAGCGCGGGCGTCGATTGGCGATGACTAACAGGCGTGCAGGAACTCGACGCTTATGATTCGGATGGTGACGCGGGTGAGCTGCGAGGGCCCAGCGACTGTAGAACGTCACGCCACGCTTGCCGCCCTCCCTGTCTGTCACCAGGCAACTCACAGACGCACTCCTGGAGGGGTTCGACAAAGGCGCCCGTCGTGCCCCCAGGGATGCCTCTGTTGGAGCCTCGGAGCTCAGCGACCTGCGATGGGAGACGGGCGAAGATATCCCTCGCTGCGCACGCGGCCAAGAAGTCCTCGCCTCCACGCGAGTAGCGAAGCGCCTGTACATCGCGCTCGGCTTGGAGCGCGCACTGGTCGGCAGTAGCGGCGACTCTGCCGCCCGCGCAGCAGGCGGGCCCCTCGCCCAAGCCCTCCAACGCGCCAAGAGGAACGGTGAGAGGCTGCGCGCTGTCTTCGGGGAACCTCGTAAATCTCTGCCACGGTCGTAGACGCCGCGCGAGAAGCTCTGATTTTCGAGTCGGCGATGCTACGGTGTTTGCCAGGCGGGCCCTTTCCGCGAGCGACCAATTCTTGGGCCCAGTGCCAGGCGGGGCCTCGGGGTCCAGGTTCTGGGCGTTTGTCTCGGAGCACAACTCGAGCGAACCCTATGGCGACGGCGCCCAAGTGCCACGGGCCCATCAAAGGCCGCTGCCAAGATCGCGCCCTTGAGCGCCATCCTCTCGAGGCGAATCGATGCGAAAGCCCCCAGAATCTTCCAGGTCTCCTCTGCGCCGCCCTCGCGGCCCCCACCCCCCTCTTGATCCCCGCCCCGCCCTCAACCGCAAGCTGCCCCATCCCCCCCGAGGAGAGAGCCCCAGACGACGCAACTCCAGGAAGGGGAACTGTCTTGGAAAGAAGGCCCCGAGAAGCCGCGCGGGCCCCAGGGCCAACCATGACGGGCATGCAATTCTCCATCTAAGTTTTGCGCGAAGCCGCCCCCCTCGGCCAGCTCCCGACGTCAGATGGCATTCGACTTGGGGGTTCTTGACTCCGCCTCCAGCGACTTCGGGCGAAGGAGGGAAGTCGCCTGATGGACGTCGCCAGCGCAGTCGCGCATCGAAGACGTCATGCACTCCGTCGGCGAGGGCGCATTCCATGACGCTGGCCGCGCGCGCCAGCGGGGCGCGCGCCTCCAGGGCCTCGCAGTAGACTGTGGCTTCGTCGCTGCTCAGCTGAACCCTCCAGGACTCGGCCAGTCGCAGGAAACCGCGCGCGATGAGCTCGCGGGCGCCCCCACCCCATCCCTGACCCACGTCGCGGCTGATATTGCCCAAACTGCTCCCCCGCCCTGATCTCCATCACTGCTTCTCGGTGCCTCGGATGCAGGAATGCTCGATCCTGCGGGCAGGACGCAACTGACGCCACTTCGCGAGCGAGGCGCGCGTGGTCCGTCGAGGGGGCGGCAGGGAAGCCCGAGCTGCTTGAGACGCCAACCGCTTTAGCAGCAGTATGAGCGTTTCGACGACATCGATGCGCAGCGCACCCGCGCGCGCGAGAGGTAGAGGCGGGCTCCGTGATCCAAGATAGAGCGCCCGATGCCACGCCTGCCCAAACGGACAAGGAACGTGCAAGTTTGCGTTCGAGGAACGCTTCAGTCCTGGCTTCCAAGTAGGGGGCCAGCGGCCCCCGTTTCACGTCCGCTGTCAGCTCTGGTAGGACGGCCTCTCTGATGTCATGGACGAGTTGTCCTCACGGAAGGCCGGGGTCCACGCGGTTCGTCTCGCGCTCCCAGGCGGCCTGCGAGGCCTCGAGCAGCCTCTCCAGTTCGCCCAAGATCGGCGCCCCAGTGCCGTCGAACTCGAGCAGTCGGGGGACCTGATCCTTTTTTCCCAGGCAGGGCCAGCACTGGGCCCAGGCGGCGCCTGAAGTTCCTGCCTGACTTGCCAGAGAAGCGGAGCATGATCGCGTGACTTGCAATCTGGGATGGCATGTAAGTCCCGCGTGGCGTTGCGGAGGGCCCTGCATCGCACGGTGGAGGCGAAGGCCTCCGACGGCGCGAAGCTATGATCTGGCGATCTCTGCGTGTCAACTCCGAAGTACGTGGGTCCAACAGGGAAGAAGGTGTCGATCGCGGCCATGCTCTCCATCGCCAGGAGCCGCCGCAGCTCGAGGGATACCTCGTTCTCGATGGCGCACGCGTAGGGCCCCAGGCGCTGCTGGTCCGCTGTGGGCGTGGCGATCGCGTGACCTGTGCGCCAGAGTCCGAAGCCGCAGTTGCAATATGTTCCGGTGGTGACAAACGAGCGCTCCTTGGCCTCTTGCACTGACTTGTGAAGCCAAGCTGCGAGGCGCTTGCCATGTCCGTCTCTAATGTTACAGGCCCATGCTGCTGCGTGGTGGAAAAGATGCCGCGAGGATGGTGACGTCGAATGGCCCAGACCGTATCCTCACCATGCCGCCACGTCCAGCGAGCTCTCCAGGAGGATGCCGCAAGTCCACGACGTGGCAAGGTCTGACGGCGCGAAATCGTAAAAGGATCGAGCAGCCCGCGCTCTTGTTGGTGCAGCGGCCTCTTTCCCACCCGAAATCGTAGACTGTGTGGTACTGTGTGTGACGCATCGTAATCGGCTGCCGTAGCTTCTGCCGCTGAGTCGTCGCGGGGCACCCGACGATGTCTGCAAATTTCAGCCTCTCGGACATATACTCGGCCCTCCACGTACCTATCATACGTTGAAGGTTTACAGCACGAAAATCAAGAGAGATATCAATATGATGGTAGTCGAAAGTGTGGGAAAAAATCTGGATGCGCCCCCCCTGGCTCGGGAGCGGTTGGGGAAACCTCCGACACGTGGGGGCGGCCCTGTGCGCGCGGGGGCCCGGGCAATGGGCTGGGAGTAGGGAGGAGGGAGGAGGAGGGAAGGAGAAGGAAGGAGGAAGAAAGGGAGGAAAAGGAGGGAGAACAGGAAGACGACAACAACGACGACGACGACGACGACGACGACGACGACGAACCCGATCACGACAACAACGACGACGACGATCACGACGACGACGACGACGACGACGACGACGACGACGACCACGACAACGACAACGACGACGATGACGACGACGACGACGACGACGACGACGACGACGACAACACGGCGACGACGACGGCGCTGGCGCCGGCGCGAACCAAGGCGGCAGCGGAGACGACTTCGACGAACGACCGCCTCTGGGGGGGTGGGGGGGCCGCCTCGCGCGCGCGCCCGCGCCGCCCGAGCAGGCCAGCGGCCACGAAGCCCAGAAGGGAGCCCAGCAGTGCCTGCGCCGAGCCTGGCAGCGGCCGCCGCCGCCAGCGCTGGTGGTGCCGTCATCGGCGTCGCCGCCAACGTGGTCGTCGCCGACGCCTCCTCCGCCTACCCCTTGGTCCTCGTCCTCCTCCTCCTCCTCCTCCTCCTCCTCCTCTCCCCTCCTCTCCTCTCCTCCTCCTCCTCCTCTAATGCGCCTCGCTCGTTTTCTCTCTCCTCCCTCCTCCTCCTCCTCCTCCTCCTCCTCCTCCTCCTCCTCCTCCCTCCTCCTTCCCTCCTTCCTCCTCCTCCTCCTCCCTCTCTTCTCTCTCCATCCTCCTCCTCCTCTTCCTCATCATCATCCTCCTCCTCTCCTCCTCATCCTCTCCTCCCCCTCCCTCCTCCTGCTCCCCGCCGGCTCATCTGCCTCCTCACTCCTGCCTCATCCCTTCTCCCCCTCCCTCCTCTCTCCTGCCTCTTCTTTCCCGTCCTCCACCTCCTCCTGGCTACCTCCTCTTCCTGCTCCTCCGCCTCCCTCCTCCTTCCCTCCCCCGCTCAGCTTTCCTCCCGGCTATCCCCCTCCTCTCCTCCTCCTCCCCTCCTCCCCTCCTCCTCCTCCTGCTCCTCCTCCTCCTCCGCCCTTCCTCCTCCTCTCCTCCCTCTCCTTCTCCTCCTCCCCTCCTCCTCCTCCTCCTCCTCCTCCTCCTCCCTCCCTCCTTCCCTCCTCCCGCTTCCTCCGCATCCTCCTCCTCCTCCTCCTCGTCCTCCTCCTCCTCCTCCTCCTCCTCCTCTCCTCCTCCTCCTGCCTCCTCTCCCTCCTCCTCCCCTCTCTCCTCCTCCTCATCTCCCTCATCATCATCATCATATCATCATCCTCATCAGCATCAATCATCATCATCATCATCATATCCCTCCTCCTCCTCCTCCGCCTCCGCCACCTCCTCCTCCACCTCCACCTCAACCCTCCTCTATCCTCCTCATCATCATCATCATCATCCTCCTCCTCATCCTCCTCATCCTCCTGTCCTCTCCTCCTCTCCTCTTCTCTCCTCTCCTCTCCTTCTCTCATATATCCTCCTCACCTCTCCTCTCATCCCCCTCTCCTCTCCTTCTCCTCTCCTCCTCTCCTCCTCTCCTCTCATCCTCCTCCCATTCTCCTCTCCTCCTCCGCTCCTCCTCTCCCTCCTCCTCCTCCTCTCCTCCCCTCCTCCTCTCCTCCTCCTCCTCCTCCTTCTCCTCCTCTTCTTCTTCTCTTTTCCTCCTCCTCTTCTCCTCTTCTCCTCTTCTCCTCTTCGCCTCTTCTCCTCTTCCCTCTTCACTTTTTTCGTTTTCCCTCTCGGCTGGCCGGCTCTCATTTTTTTCCCTTTCGGCCTCTGTGCGCCCAAGTTGCGAGGATGTCTCGAGTGGTGGCCCCCGAGCTTTGAGGATGTCTCGAGCGACGGCCCCCGACTTCTGAGGATGTCTCGAGCGAAGTCCCCGGAGTTGCGTGGATGTCTCGAGCGGCGGCGCTGGAGTTGTGAGGATGTCTCGAGCGGCGGCGCCGGAGTCGCGAGGATGTCTCGAGCGGTTTTTCCCCCTACACTTTTCCCCCCCCTCTCGACTGGCCCGCTCGCACTTGACTTTTTCCCCTTTCGGCCTCTGTGCGCCTGAATTGTGGGTATGTCTCGGTCGGTGGCCCCCGCATCGAGGATGCCACGAGCGACGGCCCCCTGTTGCGAGGATGTCTCGAGCGACTGGGGGACCTTGGGAAGCTTCTGCGAGGCCCCCGGGGAGCCCCCGGGAAGCCGGCCGCTGAGAGATCCTCGGCCCTGGGGCAGAGCCCCTGGATGTCACGAGCGACGGCCGCCTGTTGCGAGGATGTCTCAAACTGGGGGGCCTCGGGAAGCTTCTGGGAAGCCCCTGGGGAGCCCCTGGGGATTGGGAGGCCCATGACAGAGGCCTTCCTGCAATGCATTGCAATCGACAGCCGACCGCCCGCTGCCCGCCGGCCCCCCGAGCCCTTGTCCAACACAACACCCATGTGCTCAACAACCTCCGTCTCCAACACAACACCCATCTATTCAAGAGCTTCCCTCTCCAACACAACACCCATCTACTCCACAGCCTCCCACACCACCCTGCCTCCCACTCCAACACAACGCCCACATACTCAACAGCTTCCCTCTCCAACACAACACCCATCTACTCAACAACCTCCCTCTCCAACACAACGCTCGTGTGTTCCGCAGCCTCCGCTGCAAGAGATGCCTCTCAAGAGGTCGATTAAAGACCCAACCCCGCCCGCCGCACGCCGACCGTTGCCCGCCGACCGCCCGCCGCCCACCGCCCGCGGCCCCCGATGCCCTGTCCAACACAGCAGCCATGTACCCAACAGCCCCAACAACCTCCGTCCATCTACTCCACAGCTGCCCTCTCTGGCGCAACACCCATTTACTCAACAACCTCCCACACCCATCTGCTCAACAGTCCCCCTCTCCAACTCAACACCCATCATCAGCATCATCATCACCATCAGCATCATCATCATCATCATCATCATCATCATCATCATCATCATCATCAGTTTCACCATCATCATCGTCATCATCATCAGCAACATCAGCACCAGCATCATCACCATCACCATCACCATCTTCATCAGCATCATCATCATCATCCCCATCATCCCCCGCATCCTTCTCCTCCTCCTTCACCTCTCTCTTCCTCCTCCTCCACCTCCTCCTCCTCCTCCTCCTCCTCCTCCTCCTCCTCCTCCTCCTGCGTCTTGCTCCTCATGCTCGTGGCTGTAATGTTTGGATTGGGGAGGAGCCGCGCGCGCTGCCCCAAGGGGGGGGGGCGCCTCCCGCGCGCTCCCAGGCCGCCGACAAGTGGTTCCACGGCGGGAGGGGGCGGTGAAGGCTGTCGTCCTGGGGATCGCCGCCGGCGCCGTTCTCATTGCCGCCTTGCCGACCGTACGTCCATCTGCGTCCTCGTCCTCGACGTGGTCGTGCGACGGCGTCGTGGCCGCCGCCTCCTCGTCGTCGTCATCCATCATTCCCGTCGTCCGTTGTTATCGTCGTCGCCCTCCTCCACCTCTCCTGCTCCTCCTCCTCCTCCTCCTCCTCCTCCTCCTCCTCCTCCTCCTCATCATCATCATCATCATCATCATCATCATCATCATCATCATCATTATCATCATCATCATCATCATCATCATCATCATCATCATCATCATCATCAGCAGCAGCATCATCATCATCATCACCACCACCACCACCACCATCATCATCATCATCGTCAAAAGCACATCAACATCACCGTCGTCGTGTTCGTCGTCGTCATCATCCTCAGTATAATCATCATCATCACCACCACCACCATCATCATCATCATCATCATCATCATCATCATCAAAAACATAATCATAATCAGCAACACCATAATCATAATCATTAGCTCGTTCCTCATCCTCCTTGTCGCCATCTTCCTCCTCCTCAAAGAAGTCGTCGCCAACATCATCATATCATACGCCCTCCACACCGTTCTGCCGGCGGTTGGGTTTGCGGACGAGCGAAATTCACTCGTCAATGGCAAGATATCATCACCTACAGCATGGTCGTCATCATCGCTATCATCATCATCATCATCATCATCATCAGCAGCAGCAGCAGTATCATCATAATCATCAACAGCATCATCAGCATCATCATCCAGATCATAATCACAGTCGACATGATCAGAATCAGCCTCATCATCAGCATCATCATCCTTATCATAATTGTCGTAGTCATCATCATCATCATCATCATCATCATCATCATCATCATCATCATCATCATCACCATCATCATCATCATCATCATCATCATCATCATGGTCGTCATCATCATCAACATCATCATCGTCATCATCACCAGAAGTATCAGTATCATCATCATCATCATCATCAGCAGCAGCATCATCAGCAGCAGCAGCACCATCAGCATCATCGACATCACGATCGAAATTATCGCCACCAACATCATCTCCGACATCCGCATTAGCCCTATCATCATCGTCAGCAGCACCACCTGTATCATCATCATGATCATCATCAGCAGCAGCAGCATCATCACCGACATCATAAGCATTATCATCATCAGCATCATTATCGTCATCATCATCATCAGAATTGTCATCATCATCAGCATCATCACCAGGATCATCATCGTAATCACCACTAGCATCATCAGAAAAAAACGAAAGTCATCATCATCAGCAGAATCATCAGCAGCATGAAAAAAATACCCATCATCAACATCATCACCACCATCATCATCATGTTCATCATCATCAGTATCACCACCATCATCACCATCATCATCAGCATCATCCCCAACAACATCAGAATCAGCATCGTCGTTATCATCAGTATCATCATCATCCGCATCATCACCATCAGAATCATCATCATGATCATCATGATCACCACCATGACCATCACCATCACCATCATCATCATCATCATCATCATCATCATCACCATCATCATCATCATCAGCATCATCACCATGAACATTCATCATTATCGTTGTCCGCCCCCTCCTCCTCCTCCTCCGACTGTTCACCTCCATCATCATCGGCATCGTCATTGTCATCGTCATCATTGTCGTCATCCCCCTAATCATCATCAGCAGCATCATCATAAGCATGAGCAACAGTATCGACACCATCATCGCAATCATCATCATCATCAGCATCATCATCATCCGTAGCCTCATCATCCTCAATCTCGTTCATCGTAATCAGCATCATCACCAGAATCGTCACCTCATCATCATCGTTGTTATCGTCACCCTCATCATCATCATCACCATCATCATCAACAGCAGCATCGCCATCACCGTGATCATCATCAGCATCACCATCATCACCATCGTCATAAGCATCATCATCATGATCATCATCGACAGCAGCATCAGCACCATCATCATCATCATCATCAGCAGCATCAGCATCAGCATCAGCATCATCATCATCATCATCATCATCATCATCATCATCATCCTCATCCGCGTCAGCATCAGCATAAACATTCGCCTCAGACTCAGCATCAGCATCATCATCGCCATCGTCAGCATCAGAATCGTCGCCGTCGTCATCGGCATCACCGTCAGCCCCACTAGCCCTGTAATCATCATCTCTATCATCATCATCAGTAGCATCATCATCAGCATCATCACAATCATATCTACCATCATCATCATCATCCTCAGCATCGCCATCATCAGCCTCATGAGCACCCTCATCACCATCAGCAGTATCATCATTAGCATCAACATCGTCATCGTCATCATGACGACCAGCATTGCCGTCATAAGCCTCAACATTAGCATCATAATCGTCAGCTTCATGACCAGCAGCATCACAATCATCATCAGCAGCAGCATCACCAGCATCAGCATCAGCCTTACAATCATCCCCCTCCTCCGCCTCCTCCACCTCCTCCTCTTCATCCGCCTAATCGTCATCAGCCTCATGGCCCTCAACACCCTTCATCGTTACCAGCAGCATCATCAGCCGCATGATCACACTCATCACCAGCGTCGTCATCATCATCATCATCATCATCATCATCATCATCATCATCATCATCATCATCATCATCATCATCATCATGATGACCAGCATCAACAGCATCATCGGTATCATCAGTATCATCATCAGCATCATTTGCATCGTCAGCATCAACATCGTCATTAACATCGTAGGTATCGTAATCATATGCATCATCAGCATCATCATTTGCATCATCATCATCATCATCATCATCATCATCATCATCATCATCGTCAGGTCATCATCAGCAGCATCGTCATCATCAGCGTGATCATCATCAGCATCATCCTCGTTGCCCTCCTCCTCCGCATAATCATCATCAGAATCATCACCAAGCCAGCAACATCGTCATCGCCATCGCCATCGTCATCGTCAACACCATCATCATAATCATCATCGCTAACAACATCGTCGTCGTCACCATCATTATCAGCAGCATCATCATGATCACCATCATCAGCAGCATCATCATTAGAATCATCCTCATCACCACCATCACCTTCATCATCATCATCATCATCATCATCATCAGCATCAGCATCATCATCATCATCATCATCATCATCTTTAGCAGCATCATCAGCCCCATACACTATGAGCTCAATATTGTCCGCCCCATATTTCACAAATCCCCATCCTGCCCGCGTCGATTCTGGCCGAAACCAAGACTTCTGACACGCACCGTCGGTGAAGATGTTTCCTGTGACGCTCTCCAGGGAGTCGTACTCAACATGCCATCTCTGACTGTCATCACGCCTCAGCAAAGGGTGGGAAGCATGACCTTGGTGCAAGACCTCTTGTCCAGAACCAGGAGCTTTCCCTCGCAGCGGGCAGACCCCGCACGCCAATACTGCCTGTAGCCTCTGCGCGCTGCCGTGCTCGCCGAGGACATTCCCAAGCAGTATGATAATCAGCACATTGCTCATGCGCGCAGTGTGTACAGCACGAAGTAGGGACATAGCCAGGAGGAGGGGGAGGAGGAGGAGGCGGAGGATGAGGAGGAGGAGGAGGACGCAAGGAGGTGGAAGATGAGGAGGTGGAAGGAGGAGGAGAGAGGAGGCCTCATAGGAGGAGCAGCAGCAGCAGGATCAGCAGCAGGAGCGGCGTCGGCGGCGGGCTGTCCTGCTGCACCGCGGCGGGGGCCTCCGCATCGGAGCGGTCGGCCTCTCGGGCACTCTCCTGCCCCTCCCGGTGGCATCCCTCCTCCTCCTTCTCCTCCTCCTCCATAATGGAACTATCTCGCCCATGGTGGGGTCCGGGAAATGGCCGGCCCCCCTCAGCGCTCTGGTTTTTAATACACAAGATTTCCCGCGAACGGCTTCTCGCTTGGTATTTTTCCCAACCCTCCTTTGATGGGTATGCGTTTTGAATGGCACACTGTGGTCGCGTCCCTCCTCCTCCTCCTCCCGCCTCCCGCCTCCTCATGCCCTCTCTTCGCCGACCCTGGGGGGCTGCGATCTGCGAAACTGTCGCCACTTTCGAGGGCTGCTGGTGGGTCCTGCGGAGTGAGGCACCGCGCGGACCTGAGCGGGACCTCGCCGTCCCTGGGGGGCTGCGATCTGCGAAACTGTCGCCACTTTCGAGGGCTGCTGGTGGGTCCTGCGGAGTGAGGCACCGCGCGGACCTGAACGGGACCTCGCCGTCCCTGGGGGGCTGCGATCTGCGAAACTGTCGCCACTTTCGAGGGCTGCTGGTGGGTCCTGCGGAGTGAGGCACCGCGCGGACCTGAGCGGGACCTCGCCGTCCCTGGGGGGCTGCGATCTGCGAAAATGTCGCCACTTTCGAGGGCTGCTGGTGGGTCCCTGCGGAGTGAGGCACCGCGCGGACCTGAGCGGGACCTCGCCGTCCCTGGGGGGCTGCGATCTGCGAAACTGTCGCCATTTCGGGGCGTCCTGCCTTGAGCGGGACCTCGCCGGGGGGCTGCGATCTGCGAAACTGTCGCCACTTTCGAGGGCTGCTGGTGGGTCCTGCGGAGTGAGGCACCGCGCGGACCTGAGCGGGACCTCGCCGTCCCTGGGGGGCTGCGATCTGCGACCGCGAGGAAGCTGAGCCGACGATCTGTCGCCACTTTCGAGGCTGCCTGCGGAGTCCTGAGCGGGAGCGATCTGCGGCCACTTTCGAGGGCTGCTGGTGGGTCCTGCGGAGTGAGGCACAACGCAGACCTGAGCGGGACCTCGCCGTCCCTGGGGGGCTGCGATCTGCGAAACTGTCGCCACTTTCGAGGGCTGCTGGTGGGTCCTGCGGAGTGAGGCACCTCGCGGACCTGAGCGGGACCTCGCCGTCCCTGGGGGGCTGCGATCTGCGAAGCTGTCGCCACTTTCGAGGGCTGCTGGTGGGTCCTGCGGAGTGAGGCACCGCGCGGACCTGAGCGGGACCTCGCCGTCCCTGGGGGGCTGCGATCTGCGAAATTGTCGCCACTTACCAGGCAGATCTGAGCGGGACATCGCAATCCTTGGGGGGCTTCGAGCCTCACGAATGCCGCTCGCAGAAGTATATGCGCCCATGTCACGTCATCACCTCCGTGTAACGTCTCCCAAGCTACTCATGCCCCGCATTGCGCAGGAGTTGGGTACGTCGCCAGGGTAATTTCGAAATGATGCTCTCGTTGAAGCGCTGGCCTGATTTTCGGGCTACTGCTCGTTCCAAATCGTACTCTCGCTGCAACGCTGGCCTCATTTCCGAGCTTCCGCTCATTCCGAATCGTGCTCCCGCTGCAGCGTTGGCGTCATTATTTCCAGCGCCATGCCACCGCCACGACCTGGTTTCCGATCATTCCAAGGAAGCTCCAAAATCTCGAAAATGCCCCCCCCCCCCCGAAAAAACCATCGGAAGTGATTACACATTCGGTGCCGGTTCGTTGATTTTCTGCGCCGCAGAAGCCCCCCCACTGTGAGGCGTCGCCACGCCATGCTATGTCAGGCTACGCGTCCTCATTTCCGCGCTTCCACGCTTGGGTTTTCTTTCGAAATGCTGCTCTCGCTGAAGCGCTGGCCTACTTTTCGGGCTACCGCTCGTTCCGAATCGTGCTCCCGCTGCAGCGCTGGCCTCATTCCGCACTTCCGCTCGTTCCGAATCGTGCTCCCGCTGCAGCGTTGGCGTCATTATTTCCAGCGCCATGCCACGGCATGGTTTTCAGTCCTTCCAAATGGCTCAAAAAGTGAAACTGAATTCGATTGCGGTAAAATCTGGATCCTGTTCGGGCAACCCGCGAACACTCCACGTTGGTGTTCGACAAAGACGAGGAGGGGCCAGCAGGTGGCCCTACATGTGCAGGCCCACCAATCACCATCCTTACCCAGACCAATGCAAGGTGCACGCTGCGCCAAAATATTAGACCATAGGCGGGAGTCCCGCAATCATCCTGCATTGTAATTTGACAAGGATGATGGGGGTGCCCTGGCCCGCGCGGCGCACCTCGCGGGCGTCGCGCACATGGCTGGCATCTGCATTGTTTTCCGATGGCTGTCGATGGCAGCCCCTGTCCATGCTGAGACTCGGGTGCTACTTGTGTGTTGGGAGGGCGGGTGGGAGTGGGCGAGACGGATTGCGGATTCTGGGTAGTTTGATCACTGCTCCTCATGATGGCCACTCCGCCGCGATTGTTCTTTGGCTTTCGATGGGGATGGCGGAGCCGACATGCTTCTCGATGTGCGGGGGCGCACCTGGCACACTCTGCGCGTGCCCCGAACGTGGCGCACCTGGCGTGGCTGGAGCATGCGGCACACTTGGCGCACGTGGAGCACATGGCGCATCTGGCGCGCCACGCGTGCCTGGCACGCTTGGGCCCAAGGGGCGCCTGGTGCGCGTGGCGCGCCCGCCGCGCGTGGCGGGCGCACCTCGCCCCAGCGTCGCGCACCTGGAACACGTATTGGTTTCCAGTATCTGCTCATCCAAAGACGACCGGTGAGTATGCTGAGACTCAAGTAATACATATGTGCTGGGAGGGCGGGCGGGAGTGAGCCAAACAGTTTGCGTCTGGGAGAGGTGTCTTGACCCCTTCCCCTGCCCCTGGGCGTCCCGCGAATTGTCAGAGGGCCCCAGATAACCCAAGGTGGGCCCAAGAGGGCCCCAGATAGACCAAGATAGCCTCCCAGACGGTCCAAGATAGCGTAAGATCGCTCAAGATGGCTTCCAACGTACTCCTGGAGGTGCCAAAAACGCTCCAAGACAGGTCCAAGGCTTTAGTGGCTCCCGGTACGCACCTACCAGGCCAAAATCCTTCCATAGTCCGAAAGGAATCTATCAATTTGACCGTCTCGCCCGTTCGCTTCCGATGGCCTTCCGAGGCCTCAAGATACCTCCAAGAGCTCCAAGAGGGCCCACGAGAGACCCAAGAGGGCCAACGAGGGCTCCAAGACAGCCCCAAGAGCGCCCAAGAGCGTTCCATGAACGCCCCGAGAAAGCCCCAAGAGAGCCCCGAGAGTTGATTTTACGGGCTCTGGAGGGGCAACGCCAAGAAGGCATCCAAGGTCCCCAGGAAGGCCACGAGGAGGCCCCAAGAAGCCCCCACGGGGCCCTCAAGAGGCCCCCAAGAGGCCAGCAAGAAGCCCCAAGAGGCCCAAGAGCCCCCAAGAGTCCCCAAAGACGCCCTAAGAGGCCACCAAGAGCCCCAGACGACTGCGAGAGGCATCCAAGAGGGATCGAATTCACTGAGGTTCCCCGAGGTATCCAAATGACGCCACGCTCCCCCGAGAAGGCCAGCTCCCCTAGGCATCGTTCCTGGATGGGCTGGTGGGGATACGCAATGCGTCAAAGATTTGAAGGCGAATGCAGCCGTGGCCACGAGAGGCCCCGGCAGAGCCCAAAAACGCGGAGGCACCTCGAACCTCGAAGTTCGACGAGACGAGGCGCCCGACTACGACGTCGGGAGCAGGGGACTGCCCCGGGAGCAGGGGGCTGCCCTGGGACCAGGGGGCTGCCCTGGGAGCATGGGGCTGCCCTGGGACCAGGCCAGGGGGCTGCCCTGGGATCGTAGGGAAGAGATGCCAACGCTGCGGAGCTGCGACAAACCCCATCGGAGCCTCTTGGAGCCCTCTTGCAGAAAATGTTGAGGGCTTCTCTAGTTGTACTTTTAAAAACAAAAAACAACAGTTGACCCCGATCGCTCGATAACTGCGTGCTCCGCAGGAGGAGACCCTGCCCCTCCTGGGAATTGCGCCCACAGGGGGGCCACTGACACTGACCCAGCGGCCTCTGGAGCGATCGTGGGTGCGTGTGCTGCCAGGGGAGGCTCCGATGCCTCACGGCGCAAACGAGGCACCAACTTGCTCAGGAGGGGGGCAGGATAATAATCTTGAAGGATCCTTGAGGCCTGGCAAAGCTTCAGGTTGCGCACAGACAGCCTCCCCCGGGTAGTCCCAGCTGGCCTCAACTCGGGGGCGCTCAAACCTGGATCGGGGGAGGTGCCCTCCCCAAAATGCGGCCGGTGCCGCTTCGCCCGGCGGCGGAAATTTGCGATTTCCAATGGAAACGGAACCCGTCGCCACTCCACGCCCTCTCGATCCATGCTTGCGATCGCCTGGTCAACAGGCCACCGGAGCAGCCCCCGCTGGCCTCCAGAGCCTTCCCGAACAGTCCGGGGCGGTCTCGACGCCCCGGCGCCGCCTCCTGCGGCGCCCGTGGGCCGCTCCGTGCCCCGGGGGTTGGGGCGTCGAGGGACTCCCCGGACTGCTCGGGGGGCCCGTCGAGGCCAACTGGGCAATCTCGGGTGGCCCGTGGAGGCCCGCCAGGGCCCGCCTGGGGGGGGCTGCCGGCGCGCAGCCCGAGGCCTTCCCCTCGGGGCCCGTTCGGGGCCGCCACTTTGGAGCTGCGCGGGGCGACGGCTCCAGGGACCTATACGTTGCCCACTCCTTTCCGGGTCACAACTCGCGGCTCGGGCGGCCGCTCGGGACGATCCAGGCACGCCCGCAACGCCCTCGGCCAGGCAAAGCTGCTGGGAAGCACCCCGAGGCTGGACAACCGCCGAAAACGGCCGGAAACCTCGAACCAACTTTTCATGCTGAGTCCGTCCTAGAAGGCCCCAGGGCCCGGGAAAACCAAGGTGCCTGTATGGGGCCGCCAGCTTGGGACCGCGCTGCGCCACGGCGCCCGGGACGAGGACGGCGCGCCTCCGCGTGCGGGTCCTCCGCGGCCGCTGCGGCCGCCGCGCCCTCCTCGGCGCCCTCGGGCGCCCTCGGCAGCAACGACGCCTCTGCGGGTGCGGAGCGCGTGCGGGGCGGGCGCGGAGAGGGGGGGGGTCGTGTCCCTCGGAGGCGCTCTGGATGGCGCTCGAGCGGGTCGGCTTCCAGAACCCAGTGGTCCGACGCTCTCACCCTCTGGGCCGCCTGGAAAGCTTCTCGTCGCCGCGGATGGATCCGCCTCGAGGTACTGGTCAAGCGCACCCGAGGGCACGTCCGGGGGCCTGCTTTGAGGGGGGAGGATGGGCCGACGGAGGAGGAGGAGGAGGAGGAAAAGAGGAAGAGCGAGCAGGGAGGGAGTAGGAAGGAAGAGGAATCCCAGCACCCATTAGGGCGTGAGTGGTTAGAACTTTTCCTCTTCCAACCCCATTTTTTCCCCCCTGGGGGGCTCCACCTACCCCTTCTCCCTGGGTCTGGAGACGGGGGTGGCGAGGGGTCGAAACATCCCAAACGGCCTCGGCGAGAACGCCTGAATCGGTGATGTCATCAACGTTTTGTGCCAATTTTGGTATCGTGGAGGCTGGGGGTGGGGTGGGGGGGGGGGCGCATATTAAGTACCCCATCGTTTTGTGGCCGATCACCTCCAAGATGGCCCTAAGACGGAACCCGATGCTCCCAAAGATGCCCCAAGAAGCACCCAGGAGGCCCCAACAGGCCTTCAAGATGCCCCCTGGACGCTCCGAAGAGACCCCCAAGAGGCCCGAAGAGGCTCCCCCGAGGCACCCCAAGAAGCTTCAAGAGGCCCCGGGGACTGCCAAGAGGCCCCCAAGACGCCCCAACAGGCCAATAAGAAGCCCTTCAGAGGCATCCGACGAGACACCGAGAAGCATGCAAGAGGCATCTGGCCTTTCTATTCGCCTTCCTGTACACACACACACAGACACACAGACACACACACACACACACACACACACACACACACACACGCAGCGAACCCGAGCCACCGAAAAGGCCGACGCTTAGATGCGCGCTAAGGCACAAATAGACCGCCCGCGCTCGAGGTGCGCGGGGAGAAAAGAGAGAGAGAGAGAGAGAGAGACAGAGAAAGAGAGAGAGAGAGAGAGAGAAGAAAAAAAAAAAAGGGAGAGAGAGCGCGCCCAACCCAGTTTCCGCGTTCCTGCGCTGCGCAGCGCGGCATTGAGGGGAAGGGAGGGAGCGCCCATACCAAGGAACCACCACATCCCAACATCCTCCATATCTGGATTTCCTCCGGGGACCCCCTTGAAGATTCGGCCACGGCCAGCTAGCCGCGCCAATTCACACCGAGCTCCAACCTGCCTCTCACCAGCGGTTGCGGCGGGGACCCACTGGTTCGGAGGGAGGGAACAAGCGGGTCCTCCGAGCTCCCCCATCCAATCTGAGCCCCCATGCCTCCACCGCCGCCCCCCGGAGGAAGGGAGAGGGGGGATGGGAAGGACGAAGAAGAATTCTCCGATTCCAGAGCTCTGGGCTACCTGTAGGCGCCCGGCCGCGAGGCCCTGCTGCTTCGGCCACACGTCGCGGCCCCTCCGTCCTTAGCACACCCCCCATCAATTCCCCACCCGCAAGTGGCATGCTAGACGCTGAAAGGCGGGGAAGCAGAGGGGGGCCGGGGGGGGGCACGGCGGAGGAACAAGACGGGGATTTGAGATAATGAGGGAAGTACATAAAGCTCACTGCGTGCCCCCCCCCTCTGCCACTGCATGCCCTGCTTGCTGAGACCGACCGTACCAGCGTTACACAGCAGGGGCTTGCTGCGCACAGCAACTTGACATGCCGCACGGAGGCGGAGGGAGAGCCTCGCTCAGAAGCCTGTCTGTCACTTGTTCAGAAACCTTCTGCGTCTGGCCTCAAACCTGGCCTTCTTCAGGAGCGGCTCTCTTTCACGATCCAACTCTCTGGTTCGCGCAGTAGGTTCTGCAACTTCGCGCGCTGCCCGTTTACACTGGTCTGCCCTCGCTGTCTCCATTTTCAGCTGATCCCTCTCTGCTGCATCTTCAGGTGCACCCGCGGACATGGAAACGCGTTTTTGACCTGGGGCCCACTGTGCTCGCCTTTCGCCTGGGAGTTCTCGCGAAGCGGAAAATAAGCGTCGTGATGCTGATTCTTCTGATGCATGGCGATGCCCTCTGTGCAACCCTTACCCCGGATGCACAACATCACTTCTTTGCTCTGTTCTGCGCCTCGCTGTTCTTTACACTTCCTCCGGGCTAAGGCGCTGCCTTTCATCCTTGCCGATGACATGGTCACCCTTAGGCTCGCCTCCAGCGGGCAAACGGGGCCAGCCGCACCAAGGATTTCAGACTCCGTCACCTGCGGGTCCACTGTCTCGTCGTAGGCAGTCTCTGCGCGTGTGGCCTCGAAACCTGGAAGGCGAGATGTTGGTACACCCCACGCAAGCTTCGCTCCTCGCCCCTGCGTTGGCTGCCGTCGATGGTGCATGCGACGGGCGCCATTATGCGCGGACGTCCCAGAGCACGCTTCTGAGGTCAATGAGCTTGTCCTGCGCAACTTGGAGCTGATATGCCAGAACCTCCTGAGCCGTGGAGGCCTGGCTGGGCTGGTCCCCAGCCCTTCCTATGAGCGTGCGCCAATCTGCTGTTCACTGCTGATGTCTCCGATGAAGCGGGGCACCACTAGCGAAGTTGTCCCTTGGATATTTGATTCCATTTCACCAATGACGTTGCCCGCAAACTTCTCAACTTATGCACTCGAAATGTGACGAACGATGAGAAATGCATGACTGGCATGACGGAGTCGCCTCGCCGTTCTAGAAGAAACGACGCCTTGCTAACGAAGTTTGCGCCCTGCTTGCTCGAAAACCTTCGGACTGCATTCCCGTGAGATGGGCGAGACATCGGAAAAGATCGCCATGGAGATCGAAAACAAGCCCGTGTTGGGGAACCGACACGGGAGAGAAGAAATGAATATGCAATACTGCTGTGCCCCGCCTGGCCCAAGGCTGGGGGCCTTGGGTCTTGAGCCAAAAATGGCTACGAACCGCCTAATCCTCCTCTTCCTCCCTCCTCCCGCCTCCCTCCTCCCTCCTCTCCCTCCCCTCTTCATATTGTTCTTCCTCCTCCTCCTCCTCCTCCTCCTCCTCCTCCTCCTCCTCCTCCTCCTCCTCCTCCTCCTCCTCCTCCTCCTCCTCCTCCTCCTCCTCCTCCTTCCTCCTCCTCCTCCTCCCCCTCCCCCTCCCCCTCCTCCTCCCCCCCCTCCCCCTCCCCCTCCCCCGCCTCCTCCTCCTCCTCCTCCTCCTCCGCCTCCTCCTCCTCCTCCCCTCCTCCTCCTCCTCCCCCTCCTCCTCCTCCTCCTCCTCCTCGTCCTCCTCCTCCTCCTCCTCCTCCTCCTCCTCCTCCTCCTCCTCCTCCTCCTCCTCGTCCTCGTCCTCGTCCTCCTCCTCCTCCTCCTCCTCCCTCCTCCTCCTCCTCCTCCTCCTCCTCCTCCTCCACCTCCTCCTCCTCCTCCTCCTCCTCCTCCTCCTCCTCCTCCTCCTCTCCTCCCTCCTCCTCCTCCTCCTCCTCCTCCTCCTCCTCCTCCTCTCCCTCTGGTTATTCCTCAATCCTCCCCCTCTTGGGGTAAGACGGTTCCCCAACCTTTCTTCCACTGCGTGCTGCCCGACATGCCTGATCAGGACAACTCGCGTGGGCAGCGTTTCTGTATGGGCCGGCGGAGTTACTTTTTTCCTCGCGGGCGCAAGCGGAAGCGCAGGCGCCGAGTTGAAAGGTCCGGGCCACGGGCCGATCAAATTAGCAACGCGCGAGCCGAAACGCACAGCGACCGAGCCCGGAATCAGAACCTCCGCCGGTGGGGCAGCTGGCTGCGGCTGAGCTGGCTGAGCTGACTGCAAGCGGCCAGGGTAGCTGATGCACACGTGGGGGGGAATTGAATCCTGCACGCTAGGAGATGTCGTGACCTGGCCGGCGGGGTTACGCGAAGCGTCTACCCACAAGTTCGGCGGGAGTCTACCTGGGAAGCAGCCGAGCCCAAATCAAGCCTGGGATCGACGGAGGGCTTCCTCACGTCGCTTCCTGCCCTCGTCGCAGGCCGCCGCCGCTAACGGGGTCCAGCGAAGAGGAGCGAGGAGAAGGGAGAAGGAGCGAGGAGCGAGGAGGAGCGAGAAGGTGCGAGAAGGAGCGAGCAGCGAGAAGGAGAGAAGGAGGACGAGGAGGAGCGAAGAGGGAGGAGGAGGAGGGAGGGATGAGGAAAAAGGAGGAAGAAGGAGGGAGAGCAAGGATGAGGAACGAGAACGAAAGAGGACAGAGGAGAGAGGAGGAGGGGGAGGAGGAGGAGAAGGAGAAGAAGGAGGAGAAGGAGGAGGGGGCGAAAGGGGCTGAGGAGGAGGAGGAGGAGGGGGAGGAGGGAAGGGAGGAGGAGGAGGAGGAGGAGGAGGAGGAGGAGAAGAGGGAAGATGCAGAGATCGTCGCAAATTATAAGGGAGGAGGGGGAGGAGTAGAGGGAGGACGGTGCTTAGATCTCTAGAGGCATCCGGGGACTTCCACGGGCCTCCAGCGCGGCACCCTGGTAGAACCTACGGCACGTCGATGTAGATGCGCATGCACAAACAACGACAGCCAGCGTGGACCCCAAGGGGAAGCTACTGCATTGTGAATGCGCAGGCTATGTGGGGTAAGCTGTGTGGGGTGAGCTATGTGATGCAAGCTGTGTGGTGAAAGCTACGTGGTGAGGCGGCGACGCGGCGGACACTGGCGGCAACGTGGCGAAACCTCGGCGGGCCCGCTGAGAGGACGGGCGGGAGCGAGGCGGCAACAGGCGGCAGCTTGGCAAATCTCGGCAGACCCCCCAAACGCAGTGGGCGGCACGAGGCGGCAACGGGCGAAACTTCGGCGTGCCTACCACATGTCTTAGCAGCACAAGTAGGAACCCTCAAGTGCAAGCACTACCCTAGCAGCGACAACCAGAGGCTGGTCAAGACTGTTCTCTCTCGGTTGCTCGCGTGGCACTAAACACGTATACCCCGAACCCTCGATAGCCGCTCTCTTCGTCTTCGATCGTGCCCCATTTGCGGTATATCAGGGAAAAGGGAAAGGTAGAGAGCTAGGAACGGAGGAGGAAACGGGAAAGGAGGGGGGCAAGAGGGAGGGAGGATGGAGGGCAGGAGGCAGAGGAGAGAGGAGGAGGAGCAGTAATGTTGGCAAGGGGGCCCTGACTGGCGGGTCGGGCGGGTCGGCCCTAAGTGGCGGGTCGGGCAGGCAGACCCCACCGAGCGGGTCGGGCGGGCGAGACATGTAAGCGGGCGGGAGCGCTTCCAAGCACGCGGACGGGCGAGCCTTAACGGGCAGATTGGGTGGGCGGCCCCTAACGGGCGGACAATCTCGCAATGTACAGCTGGGTTAACAGCCTCTTGCGGGTGCGTAACGACCGTCTGCGCCACAAGGGCGATGCCACACCTACACTAGCTGGCCCTTCCGGCAGAACTTGGAGAGGATATCGCACGCTGTGCTCACCAGGAACACAACGCCAGAGCAGACGAACTGGCGTCCTCGGCGATAGCGACGCGGACGAACCATCGTCATTTTGCGCACGAGCTGCTGCTCTCACAGGCCCGTCCCTGGCGCCTGTCGTGCGCTCGATCGACCGCTGGAAAAGGGATGCCCACGCGGCAGCCGCCCCTTTCATCACTACACATAGTGCCCATGATCATACATCTGTCACAGCTCAAGACAGATCGTCTTATATCCCGGGCTCACCGAGAAACACTGCGACAGCGACTGCAATAATCACCCTGGTCGAGGTCATGTCAAGCAGCATCAACACCATGTGCACTCTGAGGAGACCGTGGCACCAAATGAAAACCGCGTGGCAAAAACAACTCCAATTGTGATAGCACCGCAACCAAGCCGGAGAAGCGTGCACACATAGATCGGAAGCTTGCAATTGCGAACGTTGACGTTCGGGCCACGATGGTGCCATAAACAGTCTTATTATTGTCATGATTCATCATCGTCATCAGCAGCAGCAGCCGCATCATCCTCAGCATTTTCACATCCTCATCCTCATCCTCATCATCGTCATCAGCATCATCATCAGCATCATCATCCGCATCATCATCATGATCAGCACCATCATCACCACCATGAGCAACAGCAGCATCATCAACATCAGCATCATCAACAGTACCATCAGCATCGTCCTCGCTATCATCAGCATCATAAGCATCATCACAACAAGCACAATCGTCATCGACATCATCAGCATGATCAGCATCATCGCCAGCGTCAGCATCATCAATGACATCATCAGATTCACCATCAGTGCCATCAAAAAACAGCAACATCATCGTCATCCTCATCATCATCATCCTCAGCATCATCATCGTCATCATCATCAGCAGCATCGTCACCCTGATCGTCATGAACATCATCATCATCATAACTGGCATCCGCATTGTGATCCTTAGCATCCTTCCAATGATCAGCATCATCTGCATCGTGATCTGGATTATATCAGACTCGGCATCAGCATATCATAACCACCATCCCCATAATACCATCACACCACCGCCAACATCTGCATCAGCAGCAACATCAGCAGCATCATCACTAGCACCAGCCAACTCACCATCATCCTCATCATGAGCAGCAGCAGCAGCATCAGCAACAGCAGCATCAGCATAATTATCCGCCGACACCAGGGAGAGTGAGAAGCGTGCCCTCGAAGCCCACCCTACGAGAACGAAGTCCTTCGAACCCCCGCACACGATAAATCCGCCGACCCCCAGAGGCGTGCGCGGACGACCTTGACAACAAACGTGCATCCGCCCAAGCCACCACTATTTCGAGTTATGTTCGCTCCCCCCCATTCCGGAACCCACCGACGCCCCCCTCCTGGCTTCGGCATCCCCACCCGACGGAACCTCTGTTTCGCCGCCCCCCTCCTGGCCTCGGCATCCCCACCCCACGGAACCTCTGTTCTTGGGGCCCCCCACCCCGCAATTTTTCGCCCGGAACCCACCGACGACCCCCTCTTGGCCTCGGCATCCTCACCCCGAACCTCTGTTCTTGGAACCCCCCACCCCACAATCTAACCCACCGACGCCCCCCTCCTGGCCTCGGCATCCCACACCACGGAACCCCTGTTCTTGGGACCCCCACCCCACAATTTTTCGCCCGAGAAACCAGAGACGCCCCCATCCCGTCCCGGCCTCGGCATCCCCACCCCGTAGAAACTCTGTTCTAGGGACCCCCCATAAATTCTCGCCGCCCTCCTCTTGGGCTCGGCACACCCACCCCGCAGAACCTCTGTTCCTGGGGCCCCCCAACCAACAATTTCTCGCCCGGAACTAGCCGACGCCCCCCTCCTGGCCTCGGCACTTCCGCTTCACAGAACCACTGGGGCCCCCCACCCGACAATTTCGCTCCCGGAACCTACCGACGCCCCCCTCCTGGCCTCGGCATCCCCACCCCACGAACGCTTGTTCTTGGGACCCCCCACCCCACAATTTCTCGCCCAGAACCCACCGACGCCCCCTCCTGGTCTCGGCATCCCCACCCCGTAGAACCTCTGTTCTTGGGACCCCCCACCCCACAATTGCACACCTGGAACCCACCGACGCCCCCCTCCTGGCCTCAGCACCCCCACCCCACGGAACCTCCTTGTTCTTGGGATCCCCCACACCACAATTTCTCGCCCGGAACCCAGAGACGCCCCCCTCACGGCCTCGGCATCCCCGCCCCACGGAACCTCTGTTCTTGGGACCCCCCAACCCACAATTTGTCGCCCGGAACCCACCGACGCCCCTCCTGGCCTCGGCACCCCTACCCCACGGAACCTTTGTTCTTGCATGGGACCCTCCACCCCGCAATTTCTCGCCTGGAACCCACCGACGATCCCCTCCGGGCCTCGGCACCCCC